GCGTGGTGAGAGGACTCCCCAGAGACAGAGCGGGGAGCAGAGTTATTTATACAAGAACTGGGGTGCAGGCCAGAGGTGCGTGGTGAGAGGACTCCGCAGAGACAGAGCGGGGAGCAGAGCAGGCCAATCCCCTGAACACTGCGCAGGGGACGGCGGGGAGACAGGAGGGGTCTGCTGCGCCCTGGGGTCCCCCCGGCCGGGGGCAGGGCTGGGAGGCTTCTCACGCTCCATCTAGCCCCTGCGCCAGGGACGCCCGGGACGCCCTCGCCTTGCTTCCTTCAGCCTCCCACAAAGGGGCGTCCCTTGCGGCCGCTGCAGTCTCTGAGCCGTTAGAATCGGCCACCCCAAGATCGCGCCACCCTCTCCCTCGGGTCTTGGCACACGAGTCCGAGTCACTCCCGCCACCTCACCCTGCCGGCGCCACCTGCAGGCAGCCTCCCGCCCGCCGTCCAGGCCAGGCTGGGCACCGACCGCCTCATAGATACACCCCCCGGCCTGCGCCCCCGGGGCCCAGCACCCCGCTCCACCCCAGCGTCGCAGGCTTCCGCGAAGACCTGCGTGTGAGGCAGGCGCTGGGTGGGTCAGGAGGCGCAGGAGCCTCGCCAGAAGCCTCTCCCCGAGGTCTCTTGCTTGGCCTTCTCAATGCTCCACTTTCCTCCGAAGGGGAGCGGGTGATCGGGCTCTGCTTCTTCCCCATGGATTTCTAGAAGCTTAAACTTCCATTCAACAAGACGGGGCTCGGCACCGTCGTGTCGGGTCGCAAGGAGGCGGCGGTGGGTGCTGAGAGCTGGGCGCTCACAGCTCAGAACTCGCGCCTGCGTCCAGGAAGAACGCAGCCGTAGACAAAAATTCTGATTAGAAAATGGACAAGAGACGTTGCACCGAAGAAGATGCATGGGCAGAAAACAAGACAGAAGCGGGTCCGCATCACCAGCCATCGGGGCACACAAACTGACCCGTGTGGACTCAGAGGGGGAAGGCGGGAAGCCCGAGCAGCACGGGTGCCGGCCACCGCAGCCTCGCTGGGGGCTCAGGGCAGCCCGTCGGCCGCTCTTTTAAAGATTCACTTATTTACGCACACAGAACCGGGGTGCAGGCCAGAGGCGCAGGGGGTGAGAGGACTCCCCAGAGACAGAGCGGGGAGCAGAGCAGCGGATCAAAGGAGGACGCTGCGGAGGGGGCAGCGGGGAGACCGGAGAGGCCTGCGGCGCCCCGGGGTCAGCTGGGGGGGCCCAGCTGGCAGTGCGGTGGTCCATCCCGCGCCCCAGGGAGCCCTCGGCGCTTCCTTTGTAAACTAAACTTGCAGTTACCGGGTGACCTCATCGCGGAACCGAAAA